ACAAATACAGTATAAACCACAACATTTAAATAGCAAGATCAATAAAAGATACTATGGATAAAGCTCCAGGAAGGCAAAGATACATTACAAACTACATTAAAAGGGAGGAAGAATTGCTTAGGAGTGGAGATGTCTTTCCTGTCACTTAGACAGCTCCACAGGTTTCATTCATGGGCAGTAATTTCCATGGTAATCTGGCACTGGATGAAATGCGTAGTTCTCCGCTCACCCTGGAATTGGATTGGTTGCACACTTCAGCCACTGTCAGAACCCAGCTGGTGAACAGATTGCCAGAGACCCTTAAGGACAATAAGATAAAGTCTTTAAAGGAACAATCAAAGCATTGACAGGTAACCCAGGTCCCTGAAGTTTTGAAGTATTGATTGCCCATCCTCAGCTTTCCAGATGGGGTATTAGTTGGGGAGCAGCACCTTCCAGGAGAGAAAAGTCATTACAGGTTAACATCATCAGTATAATGAAACATGAAAATCCCTTCAGTAGGTTTCTACTTTTGAAGGTCTTGAGCAGTCAGGCCATGGCAGATCATAGGGGAATGACAGTAACCCTGGGTTAGCATTTGAAATGTCCAGGATTCCCCTTTCCATTCAAAGGCGAATTGGTCTTGATATCCAGGAGCTATATAAATACTAAAAGATGCATTGGCCAAATCTAGTACAAAATGATAAGTATTTAAGTGTTCACTAATGGTATTTAGCAATTGAGTTATGTTGGGGACAGCAGTGTGCAGAGCAGGGGTGACTTTATTCAGCTCTTAGTAATCCACCATTATCTGCCAGCTGCCATCCAGCTTCCATACTGGCCATAAAGGGCTGTTGTCAGGGCTGTGAGTGTGCCAAATAATCTTGACTTGTGCTAGTTCTGCGGTGGTGGCAGTTGTTTCTTCATGTCCACTGGGCAGCTGGTACTGTTTAACATCTACAGTTCTGGTGGTGGACTGGAGACACATGAGGCTCCACTTCACCCACCCCACATAGTGGACTTAATTATTCTTATGCTTAAATGGAATTCCCCTACACTTTTCAATAGGGTTAATCCTGAGACCTGCTAAACAGAAGGCTGGCGGTTCAAACCCACCAGCCACTCGTCAGAAGGAAGATGGGGCAATCTACTTCTGTAGTGATACTGCCTCAGAAACCCAAGGAGGGGTCGCTATGAGTCGGGTCTGACTTGACGGCACATAACAACAACAGCAACAAGAAGATATTCAGGCAAAGAAGATAGAAACACAGATACTCGGAGGGAGGGAGATGCCCTATGATAAGAGTGAGGGCTACACACCAGACCTGGACGGTTCTCCCCCCATAGCCATAGGTGCACTCGGACCTATATCTACTAAGGCTAGGGTTCTTTGTGCTTTGTTTGGGGACCAGTGCATAACTATTTTGATGTGGGGCCTCCAGTCCCCCATAATCTTCTGCACCTTCAGTGGGGGATCTTGGCCTGCCTTCTAGTCCAAGGGAACTGGTGCTTCCCATATCGGGGGAGCAGCAGGCTGAATAGATTCTTTTTGTTCCTCCCTTAGGGGAAGGAACTGCTGGTCTGGTTGTAAAAGTGTAGGAGAACAGAGTTAGGCTGTTTATCTATTTTGTCCTTAGGAGTCCTGGCACCTATTAGGTCAGTCCAAACCCGCTTTTGGGTTACTCGTAGGGACCGTTTTCCATTGGTGGAATTTCTCAGCTTGTTCTCTACCCTGGGGGCCTTTTCAGTAGCTCTTACATTCTTCTGCCTTAGTCTATCAGTTTCCCCCATGCGGGCAGTGGCTTGCATAGCTTGAGAGATGGGACACCAAACTGCTGACTGAAAGATGAGCAAAAGAGGACCATAGTACTGGCTAGCAACAGACTGTAGGAGGGCATTGCTCATGCCATCTGTAAATATTTCATTATCAGGACCCAGAAATTCAGGCATATGTATAGTACACTTTGCGTCTGTTTCCCTAATGAGCCCTTGCAATTCTTCAAGAGTATTCCATCTTGGAGGGGTACAGGGAATATCTCCCTCTGAGGGCCACATGGCATGGCAGAATAAAAGGATCCAGTTCATGAGCTGGGCATTCCCAACTCCATTCTGAAACATATATAGTCTCTGCCTTAAAGCAGAATGGGAAGTGACAGGCTATTTTTGATAATTCCTGTCCTGACAAGACCACACCATCTGCCCCTGTATCCCACAGCCTTAATACCTGGGCAGGTATATACTCTCCGCCTTTCTGTTGGTATTGGACAGCTATATCAAGGAGTTCTGGTGGTGTAGTGACTAAGGCATTTGACTGCTAACCAGAAGGCTGGTGGTTCAAACCCACCAGCCACTCCTCAGAAGGAAGGTTGGAGAATCTACTTCCGTAGTAATACCACCTCAGAAACCCAAGGAAGGGTCACAATGAGTCAGATCCAACATGATGGCAATGCATTTGGTTTTGATTTACAGTCTCTTACTGTGATGTGTTCCCACTCTTTGAGGGGAGCAGACAGTCCAGCACCATTTGGGGTGAGGAGTTTATTCATCTTTACCTTGGTGATGGTTAACAGCTGGGCTTTTATGTGTTCAATCATGCTAATGCTGTTGTCCTAGGCCTTTCCTTCCTCCTCCAAGTCTGAGGACTTGAGAGGGTTCCATTTTTTAGGGCCCTAATCACCAGCCACTCCTCGAAAGGAAGGTTAGGCAATCTACTTCCATAGTGATACCGCCTCGGAAACCCAAAGAGGGGTCGCTATGAGTCGGGTCCAACTCGAGGGCACATCGCAACAACAACAACAATCAACCCTAGTTATAACTGCTTGAACTTGTTGGTGTAGTAGGCAGCCCCAGCCAGTTTTGCTACTTGATACACTAATGTTTCTATAATTTGGTCAGATGGTTACAGTTTGGTAGTGATAGTTTCTTTTGCATCTGGGTGAGCCATTCATGCATCTCTCTCTAACCGTAGTTCTTCCTTAACTGTCTGTATTTCATCCCTTAATTTCTGACACTCACTAGCTGCCACAAGCTCGGCACCTGTGGTGGCACGGACTGCACGTAGCAGAGGCCAGGTTACCGCTGCGACCAACTCTCAGTAGCCTTTCTCTGCTCCAACACTCTGCAGTACATCTAACAGTCCCTGCATCATTTTCAGGGCATCCCCATATTTGCATCCAGATCCCCAGCTACCTAGTAGTCTGACCATGGGTCCAAACACACTTGCATCTGGCCAGTTCAGGATTTCACCTGTTACTCTGTTCATTTTTACCACTGGCCTGTGGCTAAGCTTTCTGGACTCCTGGCTGGCTCGCCAGTTGTGGGAATTTTCTAAGGAGGTTAAAACTTCCTCCTGAATAGGTAGCAACAGTCCCAAAAACTTTCCTGGAGGCATAGGCAGAGACATGAACATTTATTCATAACAGAAGCAAGGAGAATAAGGAGAGAAAGCATTTAAAAGATAAAAGAAAGCAGGCTTACAAATGTTGCTAGCAATTCAGCGTCAAGCGGCGGTGGGCCAGAGTCGAACCAAGATGACTGCTAACCCCTCCCACCTTACGGGGTACTTACACCTGAGTTTGAGGAATTGAAGATGGGTGCTACATGACTCAGAACCAAATGGAGGGTTATGTAACGGGCTTCAGACTTGGTGGCACTGGTCCCAATTGATCAGAAGGGGGCCTCAGGCCACCACCTGTGTGTGCTCTGTTGAGGTACTGCCAGTTAGCAAGCTTTATTGCTTTAAACTGTTCTGAGAATGAGATAATACATTACAGCAAGGGTGGTTAATACCTGATACGTGGCAGCAGGGGGATACATGACAGAGAAGGAGAGGGAAAGTGGCTTGTAGTTCTTAAAAGCATGGCTAAATGAGATGGAATCTAAGAGCCATTGGGGGGGGGGTGGTTTGCAGTTACTGACCATACAAAATTCCTTTCAACATTCACAGTGAAATTAAAAAACAAAAGAAACAAAATGGTCTTGAGGGAAATTTAGCATCAGTTGAATGCAACAGAGCGCTTTACACAACATGATTAACAATATCACAGAGCTTAAAAAGGTTGAATTGGCAAATGTTATGTTAAATATATTTCTACCAAAAAAAAAAAAAAAAAGGCAACTCCTTGTACTGTCTCAGCCACCTCATGGGATTTGTTTTCCTGGATCAGAGGTTTAGGGTCATGGTTTCATGGAACATTCCATTCAGTTGGCCTAATGTTGATTCTGGTGCTTCTGTTCTACCCCCTATTTTTTTGCATAGTGTTTGGGGTCTTAAAGTCTTGCAAGTGGCCATCCAAGGTGCTTGTGGTCTCTGTTCTCCAGGAGCAGCAAAGGATAAAGGAGGGTCAGTAATTGGGGAAGGAATTGTAATACATAAACAGCTACCTTCTTTGCCATGAGACCAGAACTGGGTGGTGCCCAGATGCCACTACTGAACATTTTGATCAAACATTCTATAGAGGAATCCTCATTGGGTGTATATGTGGGGTGGGGGAGAATGGTGATGGCGACTGTGGAACAGATTTTCAAATTTTCATGGAATCCAGCCTTCCTGGAGCCATTGAGGCTGGATGAGCAACACCCCCCAACCTATGGCCCTGAGGGAGTCTTTAAACTTTAAATTGAAATTATCCCCTGAAGTCATCTTTAAACTAAACAGTAGTTTAGCTTAATTAGAAAAGAATGTCTGCCTTGAACATTGTGTTCTTTTAAATAATTATCTATACGTGATCAAATTGGCAACAGCAACTGGAGGTTAGATGAGAAACTTAGGGGACAGTGAGTTTGTGTTAATGGTGGTGAAATAATTCAGAAAAAGATATCAGGAAAGACTACAATTTAAAGAATGTAACCAGCGTTCCTGAATTGTACATGTAGAGATTATTGAATTGGTGTATGTTTCTTTGTGTGTATTTCACCAAAAAAAGAAAACATTTATGTTGACAGCTCTTTATCATGTACTATGTTGATTATTTTTGTATTGCTTTAAATCAGGTTACATCCATTTTTAAAATTTACTTTAGGAAGTCTGTTTACTGCTGAAAGAAACCATTGATTCAAGAGTTAAGGAGTACTTGGAAGTTCGTAAACAACACAGACCGTCAAATGCAGAATTCACACGATCCAGTCCCTTGTCCTTAAAAGGTAGGCACAGAGTACTTTGAATTTGGACAAAGAAAATAAAGCTTCTGCTTTGTAGAAATGGCTATTATGTTTGACTGTCATGTTAGTAGAGTGATACATTTAGAAAATATGTTCTAATGAAGAGATTTTATTTTGGTAAAGAAAATTAATTGAAAAGTCCTGAAGGGCGTTTATTGGTAGGCAAAATAAAGTTAAACATCCCTAAGGAAACCAGAAGTTCTTCAAAGGCTTTTTTTTTTTTTTTTGTATTTTGGTAAGACAGTCTTACAAATGGATTTATATTAATACTAACTTAAATTGATTTGAGACTTTATACTTTTTTAATTGCTTTCACATATGTCACTGTAGTGTATGTCAGTGGTCCTGAACTGGGCCAATCCCTCACCCTACCCACCCCCACCCGCAGATAGATTTGTCAGTGTCTGGGGACAGTTTTGTTTGTCACAACTGGTAGGAGAGTTTCTTTTGTCATCTCATAGGTAGAGGCTAGAGATGCTGCTAAACATGTGTTATGGACTGAATTGTGTCCCCCAAAATATGTGTAGTAAATCCTAACTTCTGCCTGTGGTTTTAATCTCATTTGGGAATGAGTTGTCTGTTTTGTTAATGACTCAAGATTAGTGTAAAGTGTATCTCAGTCGATCTTTTTTGAGGTATTGAAACCAATTAAACAAGCAGAGCCGAGGTGGGGGAAATGAGATGCCAAGCCACAGAAGGATCGCCCAGGAGCAGAAGCTCAAAGAGACAAGGACCTTCCTCCAGAGCTTTTCCAGAGAGAGCCTTCCCCTAGAGCTGGCACCCTTAATTCAGACTTTAACTTATTTTCTTCTAAACTGTGAGGAAATAAATTTGTTTATTGTAGCCACCCACTAGTGATATTTCTGTTACGGCAGCACTAGATAATAACTAAGACAACATCCTACAGTGCACAGAACAACACACACAACGGAAAATTATCCAGAGCAAAATGTTTAGAGAACCAAGATTGAGAAATCCTGCTCCACTTCCTAAGTACACTTTGAGAATGTATATGAAGAAACTTAAGGTCTACAAGAATAGGTGGCTTGCCCAAATAAAAGATGTCTTCTTAAGAACAGAGATTATCGTGTTTATTTGGTAATCTTCCCTTGCCATGCCCTCCTCCCCAGTACTCAGCCCAGTGCCTGATACACAGGGGCAGCGAAATGTTGAATAAAAGCGTGCTTGGGTGACAAGCCCAGAACCTGAGCCCAGACTAGCTTTCCTGACTCCTGGCCTAGTATTCTTTCCACTTTTTGTGTTTTTAATTATTTTACTGTAAAATGAATCTTCATTTTATAGTACTACTTATAGTGCAAATAGCCATATTATGGTTCATACTTATGATACAAAAAAACCAAACCAAACTCACTGCCATCGACTTGAACCTGACTCACAGCAACCCCTCCTTGGGTTTCCGAGGCGATATCACTACCGAAGTAGATTGTCCAGCCTTCCTTCCAAGGAGTGGCTGGTGGGTTTGAACCTCCAGCCTTCTGGTTAGCAGTCATATGCCTTAGGCACTATGCTAACAGAGCTCCATATTAATCCTCAGAGAACAGTGACTGGACTGCTGCGAATCAGATCATACTAGAGCAGGATGGGGCTGTTCACTTCTTTAGGAAGAAAATTGTGTAAATCTCCCTCTTTGAAGGTATGGGGTCTCTGGGTGATACAAACTATTAATTTGCTTAATTGTTAACCGAAAGATTGGAGGTTCAAGTCCACCCAGAGGTGTCTTGGAAGAAAGACCTGACAATCTGCTTCTGAAAAATCAGCCAATGGAAACCCTGTGGAACACAGTTCTGCTGTGCCACACATGGGGCTACCATGAGTTGCAATGGACTCAGCCACAACTGGTAGTGAGTCAAAGCATTAACCCTGGCACAACTGATTATTTTACCTAACGTGAGAACCTTGAACATACGGAATTTTCCATCCAAACAATATTGTGTTAGGTGACCCTTTTTGGTTTTTAGCTCAGTAGTAGTATAAATCTTAAGCAAAACCATAGGAGCTTATATCCTTTGTACCTCAGCAGATCTGGCTCATTTCACTGTCAAAACTCGGAGAAAAGGAAAAGGAAGGGATCAAAATATCAAGACTTCCATCAGTGGTGTGGCAGGTACTGCACGTTAGCTTGGTGGGTACCTATTGTCAACCACCTCTTCCCTTTCCACTTTCTATTAGTGAGTGAAGAAAGCTAAGCACTCCATTTCCAAGCCTCTCTTCTATTGGGGAATACAATTCTGTCCAAAGGATTAAAATGAACATTTCTCTTGAGTTCCTGAGAAAGTTAGTTTGTTTTTAAACAAAAATTGTATGATCTGTTTTTTCACATAATATACTATAAAAGTCCTTCCACACACATACACATTACTATTTCTAATGATTACACAGTGTTCCGTTAAATGTCTATACAAAATTTATTGGTGGGACATGTAGGTTGCATCTAAGATTTTCACTACTGTAAACAATGATAAGCATCGTGATAATGTATATATTTGCACACTTCAGTTTCCTTATATCTAATTTAATGTTCATATTATTATTGATTTGTAAGCACTCCTTAAGGATATGAATGCTTTATATGTTGTATATGTTGCAAATGATTTTTCTCAGTTTGTCATTTCCCCTTAACTTAGGCTGTAAAGAAAGAGAGAGCCACTATTTGCCTCATGGAGCCTCCAGTGATCACTAGTGGGATGAAAGCTGGGGTTCCTTGTAGTAAGATGAGTAGCATGGTGGATCGTCAATGAGGTGGATGATGTAATGTATCATTGTGTTCACTCTTTCAAAGGAAGTCATGTTACAAATCCTACTTCAAAAGTAAAATTGGTGTGAGAGCACTATCTTCCCTCTCTTTCCACTGCAAACAAGTTAACCATGCCTTTTGATACTCATACCATATACAATCCTCTTTTCTATTGCCACCAACCACTTTATGCTACTGCCTCACTTGGATACCTAGACACCTGCAACAGCCCCTGAGCTGGCTCCCTGGTTAACGCCCCACCTCCTGTTCACACTTCTGTTATTGTGACCCCGTCACATCACAAGTCTGATCACAGGTCTGCCTCTGCAAAAAACCCTTCAAGATTTTCCCAACGCTTCCAGGATACAGGCCAAGATCCTTGGGTTAACTGCCTTTCGGCCTCATCTTGTACCACTTTTTTCTTCTTTTTTCTCTAGCCACAGCAGCCTGAATTCACATCTTCCATCCTTGTGCTAATCTTTAGGGCCTTAGCCCATGTTGGAACACTCTTCCTTTTAACCTGTGCATCCTTCAGTTCTCTGTGCAAAAGTCCATACCTTTGGAAAGATTATCCTGTTGAGAAGTCCCCTTATTACAGACTAAGGAGCATCCTGAACTTTCATTCACACTGTTTGGTTAATGTCTCTCTCCACAAATGTGTAAACTACCCAAGGAGAGGTTCTTTCCCTTTTGTTCTCAGTTCTATCTCTAGGCGGTAGCACAGTTCCTGGCATGCAGTAGTTACTGACTCAGAGCGACCCCTCCTTGGGTTTCCGAGGCAGTAGCACTACGGAAGTAGATTGCCCAATCATCCTTCTGAGGAGTGGCTGGTGGGTTTGAACCATCAGCCTTCTGGTTAGCAGTCAAATGCCTTAGATACTACACTACCAGAGCTCTCATAAATAATGTATAGAGGTGATTAATTATACCAATGATTGTGTGTTTCATTTTCTTTGTAAGATCAAGGCCTACCATATCTTACCTGTCCTGCCTCGTTTCCTTTCCATTTCCCACAAACCTGTATTCTTTATAGTTCTATGCTTTTACATTTATAAGTTTCTCCTGTACCTGCAAAACTCCTATTTAAACTTTAAGAACCAACTAAAATTTATCATTTCTCTGAAGTCTTCCTCAGTTTCCTCCACTTTGTGATCACGCATTACTTGGCACTTAACTACGTTTATACATTTGTCACATTGTATTTAATTCTGTTATAATCAGTTTATCTCCCTTTCTCTCTCACTTTTGGTGGTAAAGATTGACTCTTTGCCACCCCCAGAGCTTCTTTTCTTCTCCAAATTACCTTTCTGTTTAACTCTAGAGTATAAACAGATAACTTTGCTTCTGGTAATAAGTGTTTAACCTCAGTCCAAACTATTAGGAGAATTGTTTACCCATGTCTGCCACAGGATTGCTTTTCACAGATGACCAAGACTCATGTTCTAGGCCATGCATACCCACAAGGTCGAAATGGACACACACAACAATGTACCACCATCTTATACCGTTTGTTAACCGCATCACTAAACATAGACACTGGATATACACATTTACTCTTTCCCCAGGGCCAAAGACATCTCTCAAGACATTTACTTAACTGCCTGTTCTCTGCTGCTCCCATAATCTTACTTACCTGCCATTTTCTAAAGCAATTTCAAAGCTCATAACCATAAGGCTTTGCCTTCAGTTTTGCTTTTCATGTTGTTACTGAAAATAGAAAGAGTTGTTGTTACGGTAGCTTCATATGTTTGAATATGGGTGGTTTATGCTCTTGTATAAATTGGATATATTCTCTCATTTGCATGAGTTTCTTACCTTTTTCCATTTTCGGAGCCACATAGTAATGAGCCTCAGCATATCCTATATACTTAATATGTAATTCTCGATAAACTGAAGTCTCTAGATTGATCACTTTGCTGATTGCTATAATGATATTTTTTATGCTCTGATTTTTCTTTATATGTTGTTGTTGTTATGTGCCGTCGAGTCAAACCCGACTCATAGCGACCCCTCCTTGGGTTTCCGAGGCAGTATCGCTACGAAAGTAGGATTGCCCAACCTTCCTTCCGAGGAGTGGCTGGTGGGTTTGAACCGCCAGCCGTCTGGTTAGCAGGCAAGTGTCTTAGCCACTATGCTACCAGAGCTCCCTTTCTTTATATAAAATAATATAAATGATTCTGAGGCCATTTCCTTAGGCTATAATATAAAAGAATGCAGAGAGTATTCA